TTCGTATTCCATTTTATCCAGTATCACAGACGTATTGCCCTTATCCGTGGGTAAAATGACGATGTCTTGATGTTTGCGCAGTGCTTTTAGTGCTTTGATCTCAGCCAATGGTAGATGATATATGTCTCTCGGATGTGTGAGTTGCTGGCAGATTTTTGTCCTGAGCTGTTATCGTTTTTCTTCAGTCAGTGGACACTTTCGAATTCCGGCCACAACTGAGGCGATGAAATCGGTTGATCTTGCGTTTGCGCAGTTGAATTTTAGTCCTTTCAGCAAAACTGATGTTTCCTTAGTGCAAGCTGATACGCTGAGAGATTGTGGAGTAATTTGGCGTCTTCATGTTGTGTCGGGTTCATATATATGCACTAATTTTCACACCTACAATTACATGGTGACCATGGGTTGAAGGAAAGTCACAGGAGGATAACAAAAACAACAGGATTAGTGGGAAGAATAACAGAACATCGTATTGCTTACGGCACGCAATTTTGAACTCCCATTTGCCCAAGCCCTCTACTTTGGCCTGGCGAACCGGGTAGTGTCAAGTCAGTAATCTAATCACTCGGACCATCTGTGTCAACTATTAAGAGTTGTCTATTTTCTATGGACCGACCGAACACTACTGTTTTACCTGTCACACCGCATTTGTTTAGCACTTCCGTCCTTCATACATCGATACAAGTTTCAAGAAGATATCAATAGAGGACAAGTTCAAAACGACCGAGTGTACTATCGTGAAATACTACGTAAAAAACGACCGAATGAAAAAAGAAATAATTGCTACCTGAAGCGCCTCCGGATCATACGGTAATTTGGTTAAGAGCAAAAGCCCATCAGCTTCTTTTTCATCGGCGGTTTTAGCGCGGCTAGCTGCCGCAGCGTTTCGGATAGTTTCCGCTGGTATGCGTCCGCTGCGCTGCAGATAGACAGCTAGTAGTGAGGGCATGGCCGCAACACATTGTACAGGTACATCTGGGGCCGCGTTCTTTGGATCTGAGGCAGCCCTTAATAGGCGCTCAGCCTCATCGGGGTGAGTGAGACGCCAGTCGGGTTCATGTGCACAACGGACCAGATCGATGCCGAAATTACGACCGCGGAAAATACGCTGGGCCCATAGACGACAACGAACGTTGGACTGAATAGAATTCGGGTAGAAAGAAGTTACAAAAATACTTAATAAAGTAAACTGCACAATCGAAATGGCCGGTTACTTTCGGCAAATGGGGTTCAAGTTACCTACACTATTGTTTCCACATACTTGAAACCCCACTTTTAAACGAGAAAATGGATCAATAAAGCGTGACTTGGTACCCACTATTGCTTCTCTCTTTACCATGAACTCTATGTGATATCACAACGCTTCCCCGTCTGCGAAGACCAACGTACTTCGGAACATGTTCTCACATTCTAGTTGATAAACGACGTTCTGTCACCTCGATGAACAATGAAATGAATAGATACACATGGAGGTGACACCATCGTCTTCTCGATCCAGATTAGCGTGAGTGATGCAACGAATCGTCCAGTAGACAATCATTAGTCTTGCGGCATTGTATGTTCTTTCCGTAGCGTGTGTTAAGCAATGAGACATCTTTGGTGCCACCCCACCCCTTTTGAAAGGTAGTTCTACGTAGACATTTTTCTTCTTAGCTAATGAGGAAATAGCCTTGGGGTTGATCGGGTTGCTTCACTTATAAATGAATGTAATATAATAACCATTGTCCAACAAAGCATGTGTCAGTTGGTCTAATTCATCTGGCAGGACTTGCGGGCCACACAGTCGGCGAACCCTGTGAAATAGAGTACGCAGCAGACCACGTTTGTATCCCACAGGGCCAAATTTCCTGTAGTGCAGATACTGTCCTGTCCACGTAAGTTTTTGATACATACATATTTAAAGTTTCCCGTCTGACATTCGATTGAGTTTCAAGTCCAGATATGGAAGTTTGGATTCCAATTCACATTCTAATGTCAGTTTGAAGTTGGGATGCAGCAAGCTCAACTTGTGAACTAATGTCCCAACATCTGTTTCGTTGCGCACAATAACTAATGTTTCATCAACATAATGTAGATATAATAGGGTCAAATTCCGTTCCTCTTCTAATTTGTTATCTAATGTTGGTAGGAAAATACCAACCATAATTGGTCCCAAAGGGCTATTCGTAGCTACACCATCAACCTGTTTATAGATATTTCCGTTG